TCGCCTCTATCCACAACCTTCCCAGACCAGGTTTCTTAGGCCGTTTCCCCTCACGATCCCTTTTTGTCGGAGAAACTGTAATTCCTACCAAAGACAATTCTGAACCTGCTGCCAAGCTCTTTCAGGCAGTGTTTGTTATCATTTTGCGGCCTGATGGTATGAGCAGTGCAAAGTGCACTCGTGTTCAGAAGCATGGCTGCAAGGAAGACACGGGGAATAAGCCAACACTGACAGCAATACCTTCAATTCATTATGAGTTTGATTGCTGCTTTTTTTTTTTTTTTTTTTTTTTTTTAAAGATTTACTCTGTTATTTGATCATGTCTCTGTGTGTGTGTGTGTGTGTGTGTGCGGGATCCCGCAGAGTTTGTAAAAAGATCTTGTGGAGCTAGAGTTACAGACAGTTGTGAGCTTGTGTGTGTGCTGGTGTGGGTGCTGAGGACTCAGGTCCTCTGGGAGGGCAGCAAGTGTCCTTAACTACTGAGCCACCTCTCCAGCGCCTTGACTTAATTTTTGGTCGTTAGCTGTTAAGAAGCCTTTTACTCTTGTGCGACATGACTGCATATTTATTACAACCCGCAGCTTAAGAAACTGAACTACTCCATGCCACTGTTGTCTTTATGCAGACTCCCTTATCCGGGCTCAGCATAGTTCACAGGTCATAGTTCACCATCACTTTCTCCTTTAGCATCATCACAGTCTAAGGAGAAAGTTCTTTCGTTGGAATGCAGGCGGCTGACCTGTGTCCTGTTTCCACTGCCAGCTTTATGTTCTCTAAGGTCTGACTGCATCAAATGATTTGCCACGTCCAGAAAGTCATCTGTTCTTGGGTATTCCGTTAGATGAAATGCCCTTCTGCATCTTCCTGTGAATTAAAACTCACCTTTCAAAACTCAGCCAAATGTTGCTTCATCTACAAAGTCTTCCTCGACCTCTAGTCCCCCCCCCACCGAGTTCATAATTTCTGCAGTGTTTGTATGCTTTATTATGCATCTATTATTTCAATATATTGCCACTGCCTGCTTGTAAGTCTCTTTCTAAAGAATGCTGGGCTTAAAAGAAGGGACCTTGCCTGATTTTCTACCCTGTGTTTCAAATTGTGCAAATTCAAAGACCCTCCAAGGGCCTTGTCTAAAGAAGCAGCATGAATGAAAGCATTAGGATCGAGCGATAAATTGAATAGAAATGTTATCATTGCATGAAGTGAGGGCTATGCAATCTGCAGTCTGTGCAACTGTCTAACTAGCAACTAACTAATAGAAAAAAATCAATAATTTCCAAATGTAATAAATGGCTTACATTCAAGAAGAAATGGATAGAAGTTACCTTTAAAACGATCACATGTTTCATGTAGTGGGCAGGAGCAAAAGTAGTTATTACAAGTGTGGACACAGACCCACCAGGCGGCAGTGGTAAATGCCTTCTATCCCAGCACTAGGGAGGAAGTGGCAGGTGGATCTCTGAGTTTGAGTCCAGCTAGATCTACAGAGAGAGTTCCAGGACAGCCAGGGCTACAAAGAGAAACCCTGTCACCAAAGCCAAAAACTAAACCAAACCAAACAACAACAATGAAATCAGAACAAGTATGTACACAGACTCAAAGAAAAATATTTTAAAAATTAAAATTAAATTTTTAAAAATATTTATTTATTATGTATAGATTATTCTGCCTGCATGTACACCTACACTCAAGAAGAGGGCACAGGCTCTCATTATAGATGGTTATGAGCCACCATGTGGTTGCTGGGAATTGAACTCAGGACCTTTGGTAGAACAGCCAGTGCTCTTAACCTCTGAGCCATTCTCCAGCCCCAAGCTAAAATTTTGAAAAGAATAATTGTAGTGATTGAAAACATAGGAATCTTGTCAGGGAAATTAAATCTATCCCCGTATCACTTTTCTTTGTTGTGACAAAATACCCAGGAAAGGGAGGAAATACTTATTTGGGCTCATGGTTTTAGAGATTATCCGTGATGGGATGAATTTGTTGCTGGGGGCCTGATGAATACCCTAGTAGCAGGAGCGAGTGGTCAAAGAGGCAGCCCTCACAGAGAACAGGGAACAAAGAGAGAGAAAGGGCCAGGGACAATCTATAATCTTCAAAGGCTATACACCTTTGAGGCTACTAAAGGCTACTAAAATGAGAAGTATACCAGATGGGTTCAACAGAAATGGAAAAGAACAACAACAACAACAACAACAAACCCAGTGAATTTGGAGACAAATATATTTAAGTTAAACATTCTTAAGATGAGAGTAAAAATTATTTAGGAAAAGTAAACAGAGCTCTAGAGATGAACAAAACAACATGAAGGGTTTCCATACATGCCATTGCGGTCTCAGGGAAAGAGGAGAGAAGACAAAATCATGTAAAACATCTCCAAATTTAATAGAAAATAACGCTTTCTACACAGAAGCATCTCATGATCAGTCAAAAATGTACAAAGAAAACCAGTCCCAGTAAACTACTAAAAAAAAAAAAAAAGCAACACAATAAAACTATGCCTTAGGACACCCCAATTAAACTACAAAGATAAAAGAAAAAAATTCCTGACAGTAAAAATAAATGACACGTTCCCGAAGGAGAACAATGACATAGTAAAGAGAGCTGAATTCCCATCAGAAACAGTGGCAGCCGATGACATTAGAGTGACAGGCCAGAGAACAGGACATAAGAATCCTGTCAACCAAAGACTGCATCCCAGACACCATCCTTTAAAACTGTAAAGAAAGTGAGGATGTTTTCTTATAAACAAATCAAAGAATGTCTTACCAGAAAGCTTGTCCTTTTAGAAACATGAAAGAATACTTCAGGCCAAAAGTAGATGATACAAAATCTATAGGAAATAATGGAGAGAAAAAAAGTATGAGTGGGTATAATTGCATTTGGTATATATATGTGTGTGTGTGTGTGTGTATGTGTGTGTGTGTGTGTGTGTGTGTGTGTGTGTACATATATATGTATAATATATAAAGTGTAACAATTATGTGTGTTTTACCGAGATGAAGTCTCTGTGTATATATGTTATACAATATAGGTCTGTTTATAGCTTTACATGTAATTATTATTAAAGAATATATCAAAATGTGCTATTACTTAGAGAAAAATAATTATTGTGTTTATAGTTAAGTAAGTTAACAATGGCCATACATGAGGATAAATTAAAAAAATATTGTTGTATACTTCCATTCCACAAGAAGTGATTCAATGTTAGTTCTAAATATTTTGGATAATCTATTTGTTAATCACTTTAGCTCAAGTGTGCCTGCAGGCCAGAAGAGGGCATCAGATCTCATTATGGATGGTTAGGACCCAGTGAGGTTGCTGGGAATTAAACTCCACACCTTTGGGAGAACAGCAAATGCTCTTAACCTCTGAGCCATCTCTCCAGCCCCCTTGGCTCAAGGTTTTAGAGGATGTTAGTTCACTGTGGTCTGGAAGGATGGCAGCTTGGTTCACAGAGCTCTGTAGAAGTGTGAAATTAAGATCGTCCATATCACAGCAGACAAGAGGGTCAGGAAGTCACACAGTGGCCATGGATGGATAGCCATCCCCAATAACTTCCAAAATGACCCTTCTCATTATAGGCTTCATTTCTTCAGCCCTACAAAACCTGTCCAAAACAAACAAACAAAAAACAGTACCACCCAGAGATTAAGCTCTCAAAGCACTAGCCTATGGGGGACATTTTAGCTTCAGACTTAACTGAGTCAAATTGCATCATAGATCAAATAGACTTAGAGATCTGTAAAATATTACATCTAACAACTACAGAAAACATATTCTTCTCATCAGCCTATAGAACTTTCTCTAAGAGAGATTATGTTTTAGGCTAGAAAGCATGTTTTAAATATTTTTTAGAAATTGAAATGAATGCCCTCACTTTATCAGATAATAATGAAACTATAGTAACGAAACTTTATCAGATAATAATTAAAGTATAAATCAGTAGTAAAAGAGACTATAAAAATGACTCGGATACCAAGATAGTTTTGACTGGTCAATGGATAAATTAGTTGGGTAACTTTAAAAGTTCCTAGAATCAAAGGAAAATAAATTCACAGTTTAGGAGAACCGCTTAGATACAGCCAAGGCTATTCCAAGAGAGCTCATAGTTATGAAGAACTGCAACAAAAATGAGAAAGCTCTCAAATAAATAACATTGATGTTCCCCAAATTCATAGAGTAGTAAAAACAAGTCAAACTCCAAATTACTAAATGCAAAGAAATAATTAAAATTAGGGTAGAGGTTAACAAAATGGAAACTACAAAAACAAAACAAAGAGTAAATGAAGAGTTGCTCTTTAAAGAGACTGAGAAACCATTAACCAAATTAGTAGAAACAAAAAGGAAGAAGACAAACATTAATAAAATCAGGCAAAAAAGGTGGCACCACTACAGGTAACAATGAGACCTGAAGGATAGCTAAGTAATATTTTTAAAACACACATTAAAATATAGTGTAAAAATCTAGAAGAAGTGGAAGAATTTCTAGGCACAGAAAACCTACCAATATTGAGCTAGGGAGATAGAGTCAGCCTATATAGATCTATAATTAGCAACAAGACTGAAGCAGCAATAAGGAATTTTCTTTAACTAAGAGAATCCCTGGACCAGATGAATTCCCTGCTGAATTCTACTAGACTCTACATGTCTGGTGACCAATGTTTGTGGTCACCCCAATAGGGTCTTACTGCGCAATGAAAAGCAGTGATAGCAGCCTTTATTGTTTTGGGCAAGGAACCCCTGGCCAAAAACTCAAGGGGGACACAACACGTGTTTGGTTTTTTTTTTGTTTTTTGTTTTTTGTTTGTTTGTTTGTTTTTTACAATATATGGCATATTCCTCTGTATGGGGTAGATCCAATAAGACTAATATATTTAGTTTTTTTTTTTTTTTAACACTTTGCAGTTGAGGTCCTTTTTTTTTTTTTTTTTTTTTGTACATCAGGCCACAAACTCGTGTGGAATGGTCTCCAACAGCTCTGGCTCCTTCCCGTGTTACCTCACAAAGTGTCTCTGGGGGGCGCAGGCTGGCGCTGTTCCCTTCTCTTTGGCCTCCTCCTTCTTCTGGTTGTCCTCCTTCACGCGCTTCAGGAAGCTGGCCCTGCTCTTAGGGTACTTCATGTGCTCCATGCACACATTGATTCTCTTGGTGATGATCTTGTTCTTAACCTGCTTGTTCACAATGATGGTCATGGCATGCTGGGTGACATTGCAGACTCCCCCGCTTTTGCTGTGGTAACACTTACAGCACATTCGTCTTTGAACAGTGCCCATTCCCTTGATGTCTACGTCACTCTTTTTGTAGATCCGCGTGTATGTGGCCAAAGGAACAACTCCGTGTTTCCTGAAAGGCCTGGAGAACATATAGCAAATGCCTCTTCTTTTCCGCTTTGTGCCATCTTGGCCACTGCAAGATGGCTGCTGCAGCAGAAAGCTTTCTTTCTTTCTTTCTTTCTTTCTTTCTTTCTTTCTTTCTTTCTTTCTTTCTTTCTTCCTTCCTTCCTTCCTTCCTTTCCCTTCCTTCCTTCCTTCCTTCCTTCCTTCCTTCCTTCCTTCCTTCCTTCCTTCCTTTCCCTCCCTTCCTTCCTTCCTTCCTTCCTTTCCCTCCCTTCCTTCCTTCCTTCCTTCCTTCCTTCCTTCCTTCCTTCCCTCCTTCCTTTTCTTTCTTTTTTTAACATAATTTTTAATTGATTCTTTGTGAATTTCACATCATGCACCCCAATTCCCACTATTTCCCAGTTTTTCCATATCCACCCTTCACCCTTATAAACTACCCCTGAAAATAAAATAAAATAAAATAAAATAAACCCAAAATCTCTTCGTGGAAGCTGCAGTGTGCCACAGAGTGTTACACAGTATACTCCTTTGCCCAAACAGCTTTCCTTGAGAATGTTCAGTGAGTCATTGGTCTGGTTTGGGGCCTCTGGCTTCTGCTACACCAAGGAGGAGTCCTGGGAGGATCTCAGATAATCTGTGGTTGCCCTGAGTCATGGAGATCCTGCAGCTTTGGATCTAGAGGACAGGCGTCTTCATACACTCCAGCAGCTTACAGACGGGGTAGATGTTGGGGTGGGCCAACTCCAAGCCCTGGATCTGGGCCTGGCTGGTAGCTGAGTTGATCAGCCTACCAGCCCTCCTGCGCCCAAGCCACTAGGGCTAGCTAGCTCTCTCAACCACCCAGGCGAGGGACAGGGACAACTCTTCTGTGCCCACGTTACTGATGGCACTATCATGTAGTGGTTGGTGAGGGGTGGGGCCAGCTCAATGCCCCCCTTGAACATCAACCTGGCTTCAGGTGGCAGCCCAGACTATGGATGTATGCGTGGCCTTTGGTGATAACATGAGGCGCAGACACCGACCCAGGCCCCTGCTGCCTTAGGGACACAGACCCCTGCTGCTGGGGGCCCACAAACCCAGACACGACCCTCAGCGGCAGCATGGGCTGGACAGCGCTATGGTTTCAGGGCGCAGCCTCTCACATGAGGCTGTTTCTCACTGCCCTCACACCTCCGGTTCCACCTCTCTTCACAGCGCACAAACGCTCCGCTTCTCCTTCTCTTCCATCTCTCCACCACACACCTGCTCATCATAATGGCGCCTGCTCAGCCGTGGCTGAGCCTCTTGCTGTCTCCTGCCTGCCTGTACCTCCAGGCAGCAGGCAGCTGGATCCTGTTTCCTAATCCAGCCCGAGAACCTGTGTCTTTTAATTAGAGAATTAAGATCACTAATACTTAGTGTATGTTATTAAAGGTATGTGTTAATTCCTTCCATTTGGTTTGTTTTGCATTTGATTTTTTTTTTTGTTCTCTTTGAATTAACAGTTGTTTTGTCATTGTTTAGTTTTTTTTTTTTTTTCCTCTCTCTATAGCCTCTTATGCCTACTCTTTTCTTCAGCTAGGGTGTTCTTTCTAGTGTCTGCTGTAGGTACGTCTTGATGATCATAAATTTTTCTTATCCTGGCTTTATTGTGGAAAGCTTTCTTTCTCTTTTCATTAGGGCGATTTCCTGGATGTGGTAGTTTGAATTGGCATCTTCCAGACCTTTAGAAATATCATTACAAATCCTTCCGGCTTTTTAAGTTTCTATCGAAAAACCGGTTGTTCTTTTGATGAGACTCTCTTGCAGCTTTAAGTACATTTTTATTTTACGTTTTTAGTGTTTTAGTGTTTAATACAATGCGGGTGGTTTCTTTTCTGGCCCTGTACACCGGATGTCTTATACATCTTATACTTGGGTCTATGTCTTTCCCTAAGTTTGAAAATTTTTCTTCTGTGATTTTTACTGAAAATATTTTCTATGCCTTTGATATGGAATTCTTCTATTCCAATGATTTCTGGATTTGACCATGGTATCTCAAAGATATCCCATATTCCATTTGTTTGTGGTTTTTAAATTTTTTTCTTTGATTAAATGATTGAATGATTCCTCTACCTTTCTTCAAGACCTGATATTCTGTCCTCTATATGATTCCTTTCCTTGTTTAGGCTTTCCACTGTGCTGTTTAATTAAGCTTTTTGAATTTTTTATTTCAGTTTGAGTTTTCTTTAGTATTTTTATCTCTGTACTGAATTCTATTTTTATATCCAGAATTGACCTCCTTATTTTGTTCTGTTGTTTGCATATTCTTTTTAAGTTTATTTTAATCTTTTTAAAAATACTTTCGTATTTTCACTCAAATACTTTCATAGCATCTCTCTCTCTCTCTCTCTCTCTGTGTGTGTGTGTGTGTGTGTGTGTGTGTAGGCCAGAGGACACTTGTGGGATCCATTCTTTCCTTTTACCATATAGATCCTGGGAAATAAACTCAGATCATCAGAATTAGTGGCAAGCCCTTTTACCCTCTGGGCTATCTCACCACCCCATTACATTAATTCCTGCCCTCTTCGAATGCTACCCCCCCCCCCCGAGTTCTTTTTAATTATTTTTGTTGTTTCATCTAAGCTGCTCTCATTGGTAATCACTACTTTGGGATTAGTAATGCTTGGATGAGATTTTCTCCTGTGTCTGTGTGTCTGTGTGTGTTGCTTGTGTTTTTGTGTTGAGACTTTCACATCTGGAGTTAGTTAATTGGTTAAGACTTTTAACATGAGCTTCTGTCCCCCTTGCACTGAACACATAGCTGGATTCATGCTTGCTGTTACTTCAGCCTACCTGCTTTTGGACTGCTTAGATGATACTTGGGACTAGTCATGGTGACACTGAATATTGATGTCAACACGCTGACCCAACTTAGCCAGGTGGTGCGTGGTCTCTGACCTCATGAGCAGTGCTCTGTGTGAAATGGCAGGAAGGAGTTTGAGGTGCTAGGGTCAGTGGAGTGGGGGTCTGACCTGGGGAGTAGGTGTGTATTCTGTACCCTATTTTCAGTTCTCTGAGACATTTCCATACTGCTTTCCATAATGGCTTCACAATTTTATATTCTTCTTACTACACATCCTGGTCTACATTCAGTATTTGTAGGGTAAGATTGAATCTCCAAGTAGTTCTAATTTTCATTTCCCTGATGGTTAAGGATGTTGAACACATTTTCAAATATAAATTGGTCATTCTTATTTCTTCTTTTGAAAACTATCTGTTCAGTTCATCCGTCCATTTATTGAAAAGATGATTTATTTTTCTGGTGTTTGATTGTTGTAGTTTTTATTTTATATATCTTCATTCCTCTTTCAATGTGTAGCTGGTAAAGATTTTTACACATGTTGTAGATTGACTCTTCACTTTTGTGATTATTTCCTTTTCTGTTCATAAGCATCTTAATTTTGTATAATTCTATTTGCCAAATCTTGGAATTGTTTTCTGTACTCTTGTGGTCCTGTTTGAAATATCTTTGACTCTGTATATACCTTAACGTGTTTTATATATGTTTTTATCTGGAACGTTCACATTTTCATATCTTATATTAAAGTCCTTGATTATTTTTGAATTGCTTGTGATGCATGACAAAAGATATAGATCTCATTCTTGTGCATATGAGACTAAAATTTCTTGGAACTACTCGTTGAAGGAACTGTATTTACTCCAATATATACTTGTGATCATTTTGAAAAAAAAATGATGGATATAATTGTATGTTTGTTTATGAGTTCTCTATTCTAGTTCACTGGCCTGCACAACTATGCCAATACCATACTGTTTTATTTATTATGGCTCTGAAATATAATTTGAGATCAGGTTTTTCCCAGCATTGCTCCTTCTGCTAAGAATTGTTTTAGATATTCAAGATTTGCAGACTGTTTTCTAATTCTGTGAAGAACAAACATCCTTGAGGATGTGGAGATTGCACTGAATCTGTCAACTGCTTTTGGTGATATAGGAGTCCTGTGTTGGGAGGAATTGCCCAGACCCAGCACCCTGTAGTGTAGCTTACTGATTCTGAGCCCTTTACAGAGCTGGTCCTGGGGTCAGCGTGTGGCACTCTGAAAGTATTATCAGGCCGGTTATTGGCACACCTTGCCATAGTTGTGTCTTCAAGGGAGATTTGAACAGCTCACTCCCCAGCTGGCTTGTTAGTGCTTATTAACACATCGGCAATCTCTCCTTCATACTTCTATCTCTTCTTGCACATGTTTTGTCTTCTTTGTTTTTATTTGTGCAGTTCTGCTTAATTTCTTTATATCTGTTTTTCCCCTTCATTTTCTTTTCAGTAGTTTCTGATCTTTAAAAATAATCCTATAAAAATTTTTATAGGATTAATGTGATCAAAATTTAAAAATTTACTTGATTCATTTATCAAATCCTGTTTATACTTTGTATTCTTTCACTATAAAATGTCTGTCTCTCTTTAAAGATACTCCCAACAGGGATGTTTTATAACTAAACATAAAATTTAGTAACTAAAATACTCCATATAGGAAGATATCTAAATTTGTGATGTGCTGATCTCTTTGTGTTGGCTTGTTTTCTATGGATTTTTTTAACTTTTTTTTTTAATTGTGTCTTCATTGGCCCACCTCACAGTAGGTCCAGAGAGATGTGGATTCCTGAGGAATAATGGGTCCTGAGGGATGAGGGTCCTGAGGGATGGTGGGTCCTGAGAGATGGGAAGTCCTGAGGGATGAGGGTTTCTGAAGAATAATTAGATTCTGAAATATGAGGCTGACCTGAAGGATGAGTGCTTCCCTGTGCTTTTTGGGTATGGGTTTTGCTAATCTTGAGCTACTTTGATTTCTAGACAGTATATTGTCTAGATCAAAAGTGTAAATGTAAACAGGCCTCAGGTAGGAAACTGTTAAGAACACTTGGTATTTTCTGCCCAGAGTACAGTAGATTTCTTCAATTCATTTCTCTAGAAGGTAGGTATTTTTTGTTTGTTTGTTTGTTTTGTTTTGTTTTTGAGACAGAGTTTCTCTGTGCAGCTCTGGCTG